AGTGCTGACATACATTTAGGGCATAGAATAAGCATTGATGTTTCCTTTTACACAGCATTAGTGTATAATAACAAGGATGGGTGACTTTGATAGGTCTCACACTTAGATGGTGCTTTTCTTTCCCTGTTCTCATGCTTTTAGTTGTTTTTGGGTTTATCATCCAGTGGTCTTAGTACCTCACTGTCTGTAAGTAGAAATCAAAGACAAAGCTTTGGATATGAATCTTTATGTTGGCTTTTCTCGTAATAGAATATCAGCCTTAGTTAAGCTGTGTTAGAAAACCTTAAATTATCTTTTCCTTTTATTAATTTGAAGCATGGTCTAGTCTGCCTCTTCCATTGATACTTAAAAACAAACAAGTTTTTTTGTTTTGTTTTTTCTATTTTTGCTGAACAGGCACGTTGCATATGAGGTTAAATGTGATTTCCTGGTAATACAACATAAACACCTGAATGCTAAAACTGGTTAGTAATACTTTCCTAATTTTACTGACAGTTTAAAGCATGGGATGTTTTATGCAGCTGATAAATATAAGCAGGTTACTGTTTGAAGGACTACACCCGACTGTACATTGTAAGTAGTGTATAAAACATCGAGGAGTATAAGCAGTGCTGAGGTGTATTCCTGGAAGTCATTTTTCAGTTTTGGAAGATTTAGTCGTAAGGATGCATTAATTGGGGTGCCTGGGTGGCTCAGTGGGTTAAGCTGCTGCCTTCGGCTCAGGTCATGATCTCAGGGTCCTGGGATCGAGTCCCACATCGGGCTCTCTGCTCAGCAGGGAGCCTGCTTCCCTCTCTCTCTCTCTTTCTCTTTCTGCCTACCTCTCTGCCTACTTGTGATCTCTGTCAAATAAATAAATAAAAATCTTAAAAAAAAAAAAAGGATGCATTAATTGACTTTCTACATGACAGTGTTTGTAAGATGTGTAGATCTAAAAAAAAAAAAAAATCTTGACTGAGGTTTGGTAGAACTAAGACTAGGATAAAATTGTTTTTATCCTTGTTTTAGCTTGGGTGGCTCAGTGGGTTAAAGCCTCTGCCTTCGGCCCAGGTCATGATCTCAGGGTGTTGGGATCGAGCCCCATATGGGCTCTCTGCTCGGCGGGGAGCCTGCTTCGACCTCTCTCTCTGCCTGCCTCTCTGCCTACTTGTGATCTCTCTCTGTCAAATAAATAAATAAAATCTTTAAAAAAAATTGTATGAATTTTATCTTCTTATTTGAAGGATAAAAACAAAGTTGTACATTAGAAGTGGGTTGGGATTTTAAAAACCATGGTCATTTATAGTTTAAGTAGAAGTGTTTCTGATTTTTTTAAGAAATGAAACTTTACTTAGCATTAAGAGGAGTTTGATCTGTCTCCTGTGCCTTTATAGTCACAGTTCTTTCCTCACCAAAGTTTTTGGAAAGAGGTTTTCTAAAATTTAAGGACAAACTGGTTATTAGTATGGAGAGTTACTTAATCTTTTCTGTTCATTGAAAGGAAATTTAATAGCTTCTTTTCTGATCTCTTCCTTGTTTTTGTTTTGCATTATGAGAAGATTTTGCCAAGCTTCATTTTGCAGGTAAAACGTTTGGAGGAGTCTGTTAGCTAGCTACATTTATGCCTGGAAGTGTCCTTTGGCTCCACTTCGGTTAGGAGCAATGTTTTCCTAAGATTAGTTTCACCATGTTTGATTATTTATTCATTCTATCTTTAACTGATTGTGGTTTGTTAAGTATTTCAATTTTCATTGACTTTTTTTAATGGAAGGTTGTTCTTCATTTGGATCACAGCAATAAAATCTTTGGACTTTAGTTTTCAAAATTGCATTTAAAGCTTGAATTTTCATAAATAGTTCTGTTTGATCTAAAGATGATTGGATATAGATTGTAGGGTGAGAAAAATAAATTTGATATTCCATTTACTTATTGCACAGATGGATGTAAGCTTTATTTGCATAAAGAAAACCATGATTTTATTACATTCCAGAACTTGTTTCTATTTGTCAGAAATAATCATCTATACTAAGTGTCATAATTGACTACAGTGTAATTTTAAAATTGTGTTTCACATTCTCAAACCTTAAAATTGTGTTTCACATTAAGATCCTTAAGAATACACTTAAATTTTTAGTATAGTTAGAGTCAGCTCATGAAATATCTGCCTTGGCCAACGACCACAAAAGAGGTCTTGGTTGTGCGGTTTCCTCCTCATTTTCCCTTCACTAACAGAGGTTTTCCTATCTTGGCAGCTGTTTCCTACAAAGCAGTCATCAGTCTCTGATTTCTTCCTTCCCTTTCTCCCCACAAACAAGGACTCTTTCAAATAACAGATGACCGAAGGCAGACTAAACTTGGATTGCTTTAAGAATGTAGAAACGTGTTCAAGAGTTGTGTGCATGTGGGCAGGCAGCTTGTATTCATGTCATTGAAATGAAAATACTCCTCACAAGCAGAACTTGGACTAGCTCAAATCAGGAGCAGTCCAGAGGCTGATTTAATTTCATGTGTACTAATTAATGTGCGTCATCCAGAACATTAAAATTATTCTGATTGCTTGGTCAGATCCTTGAACAATATGGAGGATATAAGAAGTTGTTTCTTGGGGCACTTGGGTGGCTCAGTCATTAAGTGTCTGTCTTCTGCTCAGGTCATGATCCCAGAGGTGCTGGGATCTCGGTGAGAAGCCTGCTTCTGCCTCCCCCATTCCTCCTGCTTGTGCTGTGCTCTCTCTCTGGCTGCGTCTCTCTCCGTCAAATGAATAAGTAAAATCTTTTTTTTAAAAAGTTGTTTCTTGATTAGCCTTTTCAGTCTGACAGGTCATGAAATTATTGGACTTCTCTTTATGCTTTGTATAAAATAGCTTGCAGTTTTAAGGCAAGTACTTGACCACGGTGCTCATAAACTGCAGGTTCGTTTGGGTTTTGTCTTTCGAATGGTCTTTGGGAGTTCAGTGTGGAAAAAGAATAGAGATTGCCGATTCTACAAGGTTTTTGTGCCATGTTTCCTCATCAGATTAATTTTTGATATGTCACTTTTTAAATATTTTTGGTATTCAGGAGAGGAAGTTCGCTCTTCTTGTCTTATTTCTCTGGGCACAGAATCATCTGAAATGTTCTCAGAACTGGGTAATAACATTTCTGGCTCCCTTCATCATGATACCTAGATGTCTTCAGTAGTTTCAGAGACAGCTAAAAATTGGGCTGTTCTGGGTCATGGAGGGATGTATAGGGAAGCAGTTTCATCCCTGAAACTATAGGCATGATAAAACAAACTGCGTATTATGGAAATATCTTGCTAGTTTCATCTGTGATTTTTATGGATCTTTATATTTAAACACTGGATAATAGCTTCATATTAATTTTTTACATTCTTTTTGGTGTGGTTGTTGGTGAAGCAAGATTGCGACTTTGTAGGGTAATAAGTGTTCCAAACCATTTAGAATCTCACTGTTTTTCCATTGAAGTTACATCATAGTCAACTGATAATAGAATATGGTGAACTGATAATAGGATATAGTAAACTACTAATAGACTCACATATGATACATGAAGCATGTAGCAAATGCAGAATAGCTCAGATAATGTGAAAGAACTACAGGGTTATCTAGGAACTTTTTTCTAAAAGTTTTTATGCTTTTGTGACAAGATCTAAATTATATGAGCTCCTTTTTTATAGATACAGCTTCAGAATGGGGGCTATTCCCCTCACTCCCCCACTTTAAGAAACTCTTTATCTGCAGCAGATTAAGGGTAGATTGAGAGAACTTGATAAGAGTATTATTTAGAAGAAAATTTCAGAAGTTGGTATGAAGAAACCATTAAGACATCCCTTTAAAGGAAAATTTTGTTAATTTTCTACCCTCAAGGCTAGACCAGGAGGCTGGATGTATTTGAGAATTGTCTGCATTTATCTGTATTGTAAGGCTAGTATTTACTCTGATTCCTCATGTTAACCTAGGAAGAAGTGAAACACTTCAGTAGAACCCAGCAAATAACCTGGTCTTATGTCCTAGGAACTGAGAATTCTGACTAAGTCATGCTTCTGAAGTTTTTGTAGCCTCTCCAGTTGAAGAACTGGATTCTTAAGGGCTAGTCAGAATTACACTTGGCTCCAGGTTTTATATTCTTTACTCTTCTCCCAGTTTTTAGAAAAATAGTGTTACAACCTTGGAGAAACAATCATCATAGTCTTGGGGTTTTATTTGGGTCTAGTGGATGGACCAACCTGCTCAAGGATACAGGTTTAATCTTACTAAGTTATACTTTGCTATAAAAAAACCCCAATATATGAAAATCTGAAACTTTAAAATGAAATAGTTAAGAGACCCTTTATTAAACTTCTCCGTCTATGAATAACAGTAATAATAGCAATTTGATATATGGTGTTTAGAAATGTGATGTTTTTAGAATGTCATTATTTTATAAATTACGTACACCCATGTGTCAAAAATAGTACATCCTCGTATAGAAAAATAAACTGCTTAATTTATCTCTAATCTGTCCTGCAAGATAACAGGATAAAATAGTAGATAATATTACTGTTACCATCACTAGAAGCAAACAAAAAAATTACAGATATTTATAAATTTTTTTATTCTATATATAATATATATTACATATATGTATTTACCATATACTAAAGCTAGTAATTTGATAAAAAGACTGATGTGTGGCATAGAGAGATGTATTGTTCTCGAATGACTTCCTAAGCTTTTCAAAGAAAAATATCATTAGGGATTTATATAGCTGTTCTACGAATTTATATGTCATGGTTATCTATAAATGTTTTTCGAGCTTTGATTGTTTTCTTTATATTCTTTTAAGGCTCAGATATCCAGTATGTAGGAGCAGTTCTCATATTGGATATAGAGTCAAAATACATACCATTTTAAAATAAAATTTTATACTTAGGAGATGGATTGAGGCAGGGAAGGAGAGAGAGACTTGTTATTATTTTCGCATTTCTTTTGTGACGTAACAGGACCATAAGAGTAAATGATGGATTTGTTTGTTTTTCAGATATGAGGATCAATGATGCAGACTGCTGGGTTCGATGAAGCTGGGCATTTATAACTAGATTCATTAAGGAATACAAAGAAAATATTTAAAGGGATCAATAATGGTGTCTTCTGGTTGCAGAATGCGAAGTCTGTGGTTTGTCATTATAATCAGCTTCTTACCGAATACGGAAGGTAAGATGCAATTTAAATTTTATTGTTTAAATCTGGGTGAACTTGGTTTAAACTATGCAGTATTCTCTATACAGAAGGGGCTAGAATGAGTTTTATTTTAAAAAGTAGCTGTTAAGAAGATTTCCCGACTGTCAAATTCTTTTTTTGGTGGTTGAATTTATTTTCATTACACACAACTATAGCAGTGAAGAAAGTGCTAGAAATCTGAATTTATGTTTCACATAAATTTGTAAAATATTATTGTTAATATCCCGAGAGAAGTAAATGAAAATTTTGCTTTGGTGTATATTTTACACTTATCGACTAAATTTATTCCAGTAAAATCGAAAGTATTTCATGTCAGTGTTTTTACTTCTTTAGTTTGCTTGCTTCTTAAGTGGAGTCATAGTTTAGTTCTAAAACTCCTAAATAAAGTTTTTTCATATCTTCTGGAAAATATTGGTTTTTTTTTTATTTGTAGTGCTTCCTTTTGAATGTCATTTATATCTTTTTGAAGATGGACCTGCCTTTTAAAGAAATAAATACTTTTTGAGGCTTAGTGAAATAATAGAAACCATCATTTATCAATTACTATATGATTTTTTTAGTATCTGTTATTTCTTTAGTCTTATATATTATTTCCATGTGAAAATAACACCCTTTCAGGTGCTTTTTATAGGGCAGGTCAGAAGTTAATATGGAGCTAAGATATGTTAATTTTATAGCTACTTGATAGTGGTAGTTATGTATTCAGCGTGAAACTATATTAATCTTGTAAAATCTGTGAAGAATACAAACTCTCTGAGAAACACATGGATTTTATTTGTCCCAATTAAATATTCTTGAAGAAAATACTTTAGAATTTTAAAATTGATTTTATATGTATTTTTAAGTGATCCTATTTATACCTAGTAACAAAATGATAGGTGGAGGTAAGAGGTAGCTCTCAACTAAGAGAAGCTTATTATTCCAATATCTTTGTAATAAGCTTCAGTGTTAACATTTTAATTTTGCTGAAGGAATTTTATTTGAATTGCTGTCCCAAAATTATATTTCATCATAATCTTCTTACCTTCCCAGTCCCCTCATTTCAGTATTGACATTACTTAATAATTCAAATAAATGACAAATTTAGGAATATTTTTAAAATAAATTCTGTATTTAGAAAGTAAATAATGTTCACTTGGATTTAAGTCAAGCCTGAAAGTTACAAATGGGTTAATATTCTGTTTTTAGAAGATAATGCTCTTCGCATCAGAACTGAAAGATATATCAAATCTAACAGTAAAATGCAGCATGTCTGAATGAATAGTACCATAATGATAAAAAACAAGCAGAAACAGAGTTTAAGAATATGAATCTCTGGGTTGGATTGTTCAGAAAATCTTGTGTATAGTCTATAATTTTGCATCTGCTTTTTTGGGGGGGATGGAAACTAACTGAATTCCTGCTGCTATGTTTGAATGTTTTTATACATTTAAAAAAGATTCCAGGTGTGGACCAATGGCTCATTAGTCCACATAATGAAAAAATTTCCAATCAAGATAGAGACCACTTTGCTGGCACAGTAGCTTAACTCAGCGGGGGGGCTAGCAAACAGAGACTTTTTCATGAGATACTGCAGTTTTATTTCTAGTGTCACCTGTCAGGTCAGGATTCATATCTGCTGTTAAGAGAAATTTCATTTTTGGCGCATCAGGCCAGGGGGTGTTGCTTTTGAAGCAGCTCCCTCCTACGGATAAAAAGAACCTGGGAGGAATCCACACTGCTAGCTGTGAGAGTAGACACAGTTAATGCACACTGTTAGAATACTGATCCAGCATCACATGGTTTTGTCTTAGTAAAGTTTTACATGACATGATAGTCCTTTATTGCCAGAAAGCAGATAATGTTCTGTGAACACCTATAGAGAAAACCAATCAAAGTTAGGTGTGAGAACACAGGAAAGGAGTTATAAATTTAACCATTCAGCCCATTAAGTTTCTTCAGAGCCCTTGCATGATGGTTACCTTTTCAAATCTCACAGAGATGAGCACTTTTTTGTAGTAGTTTCTGGCTTCTTACAGTTAGGACTTCGATAAAGTTTCCTAGGTGGTTTCTTCCTTTCTCATTTACTGAGTGACTCAATTGAGCCCGGTGCTTAGGATTCTGAAATGCACAAAGCACAGTTTCTGCTTCTTGAGGAGTTCACGGTCCTGTGCAGGGGCAGAAGCCTCGGGTACTTACTGCTGCCACGCAGGCGAAGTTAACTTCAGGGCAGCAGGCCAGTGAAGGTCTGCTGTAGGCAGGGAAATGCTTGCCAGAGGACCTGTGATTGCCATGCCAGAATTTAGCCTGGTTTTGCCAGTCTTCTGACTTTTGCGTGGAAATCAAATGTGGATTTTAAGTAATAGTAGCTAATTAAGATCAAAATAAAACAGAACAAGCATGTATTATATTTAGTGATGGACTTGCCTTTTTCAGAGCTTTTATTTTCCCTCCTCTTTGCAGTAGTGTTTCACTTTAGTATATTATTTTAAAATAGGCCGAACATAATTTTAGAGTTATTTTACATCTATATTTGTGAGAGGTAAATTTCCACATTTGCAAGGACTTACCTGTTTTATGTTCAGGTGAATATTATAAATATGTCATGTTTTGGGTACACAGTAAAGAACAAACTACGAAACAGTTTTTCAAGTTTCTAACCACAGTAAAATCTAATTACATAAATATTTAATTGTTAGAATTAGCTTCTCTCCCTTTATCTCTAACTTTGTCATCTAGTATTGAACAATCAAGTCTCACCCCTTAAATTTACTTGTTTTTGCAAAATAACAACAATGTTTTATTTATTCTTAGTCTCTTTTCCCCTGTGTATTTTGGAAAATTGTTTAGAATTTCCAAATAAAAATGATTATAAAAGATCAGACTTTCAAAATACTTTGTAAGTTTTTCTTTGAATTGATTTTATTCCTACAGAACTAATCTCAAGCCCTTCAAAAATCAGTTTTGTTGAGAAACTGGTGTGCTTTGATTTTTTTGGCCAATTTTTTATAAGCAGAGTAACCACTGTGGTATCATGTATCAGTAAGTAAGAAAGTAAATTGAATTTTTGTGTCCTAGAGAATTAAATTATGCTATATAATGGAGCCCTGGCAAGCATAAGTCAGACATGTGAAGGCTTGCTCAAGTGACAAGTTACAAATAATAGCAGTTCTTCAACAAAGTCGTTTTTAAAATGGGTTTCAGGTTGACTACTTTATGCAGTGAGTATTTAATTAGATTTCATTAGTCAAAATTTTAATTAGTTCAAATTACATTGTTGTTTATCCATATTTCAAAAAAGAATGTTATGTCCATATAAATGCCAGCTATGCAAGATACAGCTTTACCTATTAGTTTTACATACATCCAGAAATTTTAAGAATATCAGTCTTAAAACTGTCTTAACCAGTTTTATTTAAATGTACTTCTAAATTCTCTAAGCATATTTTACAATAACTTTTGTATTAATGATATCTTACTGAAAAATGATGTTTGGCTGTAGGGTCTTTTTGCTAGTTGAGTGACAGAAAAAAAGTAGATTTAGGCGTTAAGTATGAATTAAAAAAACTGTTTTAGTCATATAAATATTTCCTTCAGACTGGTCCATAATTTGGAAGGAGTAGTAGCCTTTTTTTTTTTTTTAAAGATTTTATTTATTTATTTATTTATTTGACAGAGAGAGAGATCACAAGTAGGCAGAGAGGCAGGCAGAGAGAGAGGGGGAAGCAGGCTCCCTGCTGAGCAGAGAGCCCTATATGGGGCTCCATCCCAGGACCCTGGGATCATGATCTGAGCCAAAGGCAGAGTCTTTAACCCACTGAGCCACCCAGGCGCCCCAGGAGTAGTAGCTTTTTATCCAAGGTTAAACTTAAGAAGGATTACGATAATTCAGACCTGTCTGTATTCATTCTTTCTTTTATTTACATACACATATAAGAAAATGTATAAAATATATATTCATACACACACTATGTCAGCATCACAAGGGCAACAGTTGTTTTTGTTTCTTTATTTCATCAGTGTGTCCAAGTGCCTAGAACAATGCCTGGCTTATAGTAAGTACTCACTTTATATCCATCACATAAAAAAACTGAAATTTTTGAGAGGTTAATAAACAGTTGTAATACCAGGGTAGTAAGTGCCATGATGATGATACTCATTGGGATGAAGTGAGGAGGTGGCTGGATATATATCAGGAAAGACTTCCAGCTGAAGTGATCGCGATGCTTGAGCTGACTCAGTATGAGTTGACCAAGCTGTGTAAAGGCATTGGTGAGCATGGGGGTGGAGACAAAAAAGTCAATGGAGAACAGCATGGTGTGGAATAAAACACTGTAGTGATTCTTAAGAGCATCAGAATTGCCTAGAAGGCCCAGGGTGGGGCCTAAGCGTTGTATTTCTGAGAGATTTGAGGGATGACACTGATGTCACTCAGCATCACACTTGACCATTATAGTATTGTATGTGTGCGGGTAGTTGAGCTGAGGTGTAGAGATGAGTGGATATTGATATAAAGTTACTTTTTTGAAAGGGTTTTTGAAAAGAAATTATGATTTAATTCACTGTGATCCCAGAATAGTAACCAGTTGATTACTAGGAGTTACTATCTGTATCTTTTCATATGGTGTTTTACTCCTCTGATCACACTTCTTGGTCATAATTTTAGGCTCTAAAATGGGATTTACCCCCCTCTTTCTTGACAATGTATTGAGAAGGAAAAAAAATGGAAAACTTGGCTCCAGATTATAAAAAACAGGACATATTTTCTGTTAAGAGAAATTGTTACATTTTCAGAGCTCTTAAACACTTGCTTCAGTTTGTCTCTTCATTGTGATAACCTTGTTCTTTTTCTTGTTGGGAATAACTATATGGCCGTTGCTGTGAAAATGCTGAATTGACTTACTGTAGGGACTTTAGATTTCCCAATCTAGCAAAATTGACTACTTTTGTTCATTTCAGTATATTTTTGATTAGTTGAAAACTAGCAAGTAAAT